AGGGGGAGGTATTCCTTCGTGATCTTGTACCCAGGGACACAAAAAACAAACTCACAAAGCCAAAGTAAGTAAAAAACAATTCTTTCTTTGTCCTTGACAGCGGAACCAGGCTCGCCTTTGTATTTTTTGGCGAAATCTGTATAGCACATGTCAGTGTTTAACGTAAAGGTCACTTTTGGAGGCTCAAGGAGAGCATGAATTGGATTGCCCTAGATTGGGAGACCAGTCAAGTGAGCTACATCTAAGATGGTAGGGGAAATCATACCAAAATTGAGGAGTAGAGAGTTACAAGATTGCGACCAAAAGCATGTAGCAACAGCAATCAGCCCTTTGTCCATGTCATAATTTTTAGTCGACAGTCTAATTGCTTCACTAATGCCCTGTTGCTTCGATACTTCAGTGTCATGACCTTTAATTCTCCTGGCCCTGCTTCACCAAACAGAGTCTAGTGACCTCCACGATCTGAGTGGGTTTTTGCTGACATTCCAGTTAGTCCACTTAAGTCCAGGTTGGTTGAGAAGAAGATTCTCACCACTACCAAGGAGATAGTATGGAGCTAGCTCGTCTGGGAAGTAAGACGCGAAGGTAGGGCCTAGAGTAGCCTTAGCGATAGAGCTTGTGCTGGACAATAGGGTAATACCTAATTTTAGAGGAGTGATACGTGCTCTGATAGGGCCTGGGAAGCGGAGTAGGTCTTTATTGTTCTCCTCAGATGGAGATGGTTAAGATTTTTTGGGTGCCATGGCTTAGGGTTTTGTGGGGCTGTGGTTTTGAACGGCAATGCTTAAGAAGAAGGAGTACACTCTGAGGAGTTCGAATCAGAGGGAAATGAAGTGGTTTGAAGTTGAAAAGGTGGGTCTTTTATAGCTTATGATGAGGCCAGTATATTTAAATGCTCTTATATCGAGTTGTAGTTTATGTTTGTTTTGGGCTCGTATTAAGAAATTCGGTATTGGACTTGTCTTTTGGCCTCAGGGGAATAATTCTTTGGGTTAAGTACAAATTAATGCCCAAACAATGGCCCCCTTGTTCAAGTTAAATATCATATGACTTGGACCCCACAAGGGGGGCACCCCATGACCCCTCTCTCTGATTGGCCAGTTTTTTTTTTTTTTTTCCTTTTCCTCCAATCACTAGCCCCCACGTGTGTGTAGGGGTGGTGGAGGTGGTGATTGGAGGGGGTTTCAATCACTTCCCCAAGGTTAATTCATATGATATTTAACTTGAACAAAGGGGCCATTGTTTGCACCAAGTTTTGCCAGTCTCTGTCGACAGATGATCGACTTAATAGAGGATACGTGGCCAAGTCTGAAGGAATGTCCACCAGTTAAAAGTGGGTTCTCTGCATGTGGGTCACCTAGAAGTAATGGGAGAAGTTTTTAGCACCAGTCATGGAGTTAGTGGGCACACTTTCAGGAGAAAGCATGAGACAAAGCAGAAGCCTTAATCTGTCGACAGAAGTTTCAAACAGTTAGTGGCCATGAAATAAACAGAAGAAAAGGGAGATCGACAGATAGAAGTGGAGGTTTAGTATACTTAGAAAGCCTCGAAGGTAGATCATTGGTTTTGATATCCGTATGCTGTTTTTGTGGCCCATCATTGCATGATCTCACACGTCTACACCATAACTGCCACTGTAACTGCCCCCTAACTTCGAATCTTCAAGTCCCCTCTGCCAAATAATGACTCTTCCTTGTCGACCTTCCTTTTCACCATTGTGGGGCATGTCCCTCATTATTATGAGACAAAAATCAATAGAATATTGTCCACTAAACACAGCCACAATCCTTACAAATTGGGCCACTGAACCACAACACTTGGCCACTCACTGTAACTGCCCTTGACTTTGAATCATCAAACTCTGCCAAATATTGAATTTTCCCTGTAATCAAAATATATTTAATGTCGCTAAACTTGTTAATATTTGAAATAACTTTTTTTTTGGATTGTAATGACTTAAACACAATTGTTGTCCTACATTTTACGTAACCAAAATACACAACTTTTTACGTAACCAAAATACACTACTTTTTACGTAACCAAAATACACTACTTTTTTACGTAACCAATATACACTACTTTTTTTAAAGATGGAAACTACCAAAAATTTATATCATAAAAATTGTTGTCCCATTTGGTTATTTTTAAAAAATTTCTTTTTGCACCTATTTTTCCCACATCCTGCCAACAGCTGCTCCATTCAATTGAGGACACATGGCAAGTCCACCTGAAGACAAGGGTTATCAACTAACATTGAATCCTGCATGCCACCTGACTTACATGGTGGAGTAGTTACTGGCAGTGCTCATGGATTTAGTGGCCAGCCTCCAAGAGGAAACATGAACGAATTTGGAGTCTATATCTGTCGAGAAAAGGCTAAAAGGACTTGGGCACAGGTGGCAACTTCAATGATATGCACTTCGACAGGTAAAAGTGAAGGTTTTATGTGGTTTCAAGACGCAGACATGACCGTGCAGTTACAGAAGTTGCACCGAAGCAGTTGCAAATTCGATAGATCATGGGATCATGGGAAATAAGAGCTATAAATGGCAGAAGGTTTGTAGAGAGAAAGGACATGAACAACAACACAACTTACTTTCTACATTGTAACTTCTGAGTAGTTTTTTCCCTTCTCATTTGTACTTTGTCACTCGGTGAACTTTGGTAATTTCAACCTCAAATTAGCAAAGGTTTATCTTCTATGATTTGTTACCATTAGCTCATATCAGAAAGTTCATTTTACTTGTTTACTTTGTTACCATCAGTTCGTGGAAAGAAGTCTTCATCCTTTTCAGGCATTCGAAGCAATACCACAATTGCTTGATTTTCTTCTTTAACTTGGCAACTTTAAATTACTACTTCGTTGCTGTCGATATAGGCCCACCATAATTTTACAAACAATAAACCCAACACTTTCATAGTTAACATGAAATAATTTCATAACTCATGTTCGTAACTCGTAATTCATATAGTAGCAATCGGCATAGAGATAAAGTAAACGAGTTCGTTGGGTTACTTTCTCCAAGTAACACCTAAAATTAACTGCCACTTGGATTATATGCAAAATGCATGTGCTGGGATGTAATTTTGCAAAACCACATGGACAAAATTCGTATTTTACTCGAAATATAATACTAATTTACCGAAACAAGTCATAACAAATCAATACGAAGCCAAACACATCGTTAGTTGATAAACCACACCGCAAAAACTTCAGTTAGATCCAACCAAATATGGAACAGAAACAAGCAACCCGCAATAGGAATCTTGGAATACAGACATAAGCCAATTTCCAACCCAAAACAATACACACACAACCCATATATATCTCACCTTCAATTAGTTTTCAAAATGACAAGTCACTGCAAACACAAATGACAACATCACTCTAAACAATATGGGAAATTTACAACTCGTGGCCTTGTACATAAGTAACGTTAAGCCATTTCCTGGCATTGTACGTAACCAATTATTTACACATTACGTACAACAATCCGTGCAAAATGAAAACTACATACATTATTTACATATGCTTTCAATAGCTAGTACTGTGTACCTAATAAATTAAGGGAATAAGTAAATCATACAAATTATACAATTACCTGATTCACCTCATCAATTGTAGTCGAATCATTTTTGCACACTGCTGCTTCAACACTACCGTATTGGCCCACGGGCTGTTTGGAATCAGGAGAAACATCAAAAAATAGTCATCGTTGCTTAATGTGCGATGTACTTGGATCCACCAACCCAGTTTTGCAGCGAATGGGCAATGACTCCGCATTGTACTCACGGTCAGTGATGTGGGTTGTATCTTCATCTGAGTTACTACCCACTATTTAGCTAAACTGAACCTTAGGACACGTTCGCTTTGTGTGCCCAATGCATTTGCAATTCTCACATTTTCTTGGTCTTCGACAATTGGATGAGTCCCGTCCCGGGTTCCCTTTTGTCTTCACAAGATCAAGATCTTCTACTCCAAATTGTCGTGGGATTGAATGTTTCCCTTAGTCTCCATCCCCATCGTATAGATTCCTCTCATATAACTCCTTCATCTGGCTCGTTATCGGAAGACATGCATCCCTAGCCTCTTTGAAACCTTCCGTTGATTGCGAGGCATAGAAACACATTTCATTGTAGGAAGAACTCAATATCCCATACCGAGCCGTCTGTGTTGTAGTGCTATCAATTGAGGGTTGAGGCCATTGCTGGCTATCCTTGCTTGCAGCCCTTGTCCATCTATGCAACACACAAGTTGAGGGAATTTACGTTAAATTTTTGGCTTTCATAACACATATCATGTGACAGCAAGGTAGCCCCAACGACTCAAACTTCATGCAAGAACATCTCATTGTAGCATCCACTGGATTATGTGTTACTATCCATGATCTATCCTTCACCTTGTATTTATGAATATAGTAGCATTTATGACCATCCGGCAAAGGGAACATGTCCTTGACATTCAACTTCCCCTCTTCTAAGATTTCATCACAGAACATTCTAAATAAATTTCAGGTGAATAGCTCAGCTCCATGTCTCTCTATATCTCGCAATAGAGTAATCAATACCGGAAAAGTGTTATTTGTTTCAGTATCATCTCCAGCCTCGTTATACCTTATCCTTGCAAGAGCCCGATCATAGTGCCTAACAAATTCATATAGCTTCAATTTGGGTTTGAGGAAGGGATTGAAATAAGCATTCATACTCTCCGAGCGCTGAGTGCTCTTCATCACAGCAAAGAAATGTCCACACATATATGCCTCAGCCCATATATGATGCTTCTCATATGTCTCCAACACCCAACTGTTGGTTTGAAATCCAAATTTTTCGACCATTCTCATCCAGCCATGCTCAAACTTTGCCTCATCCGTTTCCATGTCCATGCACTACTTGAAAGCATGTACAAAGCCACTTTTGTGAACATTTGAAACAACATTTTCCTCAAGATGCCAATTATATAATCGATGTCTTGTGTCTGGAAATACTCTTCTGATTGCCTCTCACATCGCCTTATCCCCATCTGTCAGTAAGGACACAGGTGTTTTATTGCATATCGCCTCCATAAATGTTTCCAAAACCCATGTGTATGTATCAATTGTCTCATTAGCTAGCAAAACACATGCAAATATCGTGGTTCTAAAGTGGTTAGTCACACCAGCCAACATGACAAAAGGTTTCTTGTATGCATTGGTTCTGTAAGTTGGGTCAACTATCAACACATCACCAAACTTTGCGTAGTCAGCCTGCGATTTCGAATCTGCCAGAAACGGATTTTGTAACTTGTTATCCTTACACACATCATACTTGTAAAAAAAACGTGTGTCAACATCAAGTTTTGCACATAGGTAAACCAACGCACCTTGCGTATCACCATTCTCAACTTCTGCTCTATGTTCGGCTTAAATATGGTTGTGCAGATCTGTACGGATGAAACCAACATTCTCATAAGACCCGAATTGATTTACCATATAGTCCATGATTTGGCTAGTCTTTATACCGACGTTGCGCATAGCCATTGCTTGAGCTTTGTCAGCGCTGTTTAAACTGCGATATGACCTCAGATACATCACACAGTGTTGTTCTGCCAATTCATGGTTGTGGTCTGCGACGAAGTGAGTCACAACATACATTTTCCCTTCACCAGTATTTGCATCGTACCATATACGAAATTGGGCTTTGCAACCTACTCTTGTTAGTGCCTTGGGAGCTCTACTCTTCTCAGCAACACGATCCAAGTATTTTAGTAATCTCTGACCTTCCCTTGAACACAACCATAGCCTACTAATGTCCTTTCCCTCTTTATTTGTGTTAAATCTAGATTTTCATATACTAAATCCCTTGGCCTTAGCATATGCATTGTAAAAAGCTTCTCCATTGTAATAACCCCGACCTCCGATTAATGCTAAATCATGATTATTTATGCTTAACAGTAATTTAAAAGGAATCCAAAATTAAATTGCATATGTATTGCATTATCTTTGTGTTTTTATCTGTTTGCCATAAAATGATCTGTTCATGTTTTATGTTTTAAACTGCAAATTGAAGGCCTTATCGGCAGTCGAATCCGAAACTCATTAGTGTTTTGTGTTAATTAGAATTAATGTGATTTTATGGTAAATTTAGTTGAAATTTGATTTGGTATGATTAAATTAGATTAAATAAGCTAAATTACATTAGTTCAAGTTAATTACCTTATTGCCATTAGTGGGCCACTTCATGAAACCTTTGGAGACTTGATCTATCATCCATTTCTTGACCAAAACCGTGGGTGAGAGAGAGAGCTAGAGATAGGAGAAACTTTGGTTTCAACAAAATTCCTTGGAGAATTGGAAGAATTGAAGAGTAGTTTGCAAATTTGAGCTCTTAGACTTGGAATTCAAGGTTTAAGGTAGGAGATTTCCCTTTCAATTGTGAATTTAAGATTAATTCTTGCATGGTTCATGGAAGATTAGAGTTAAAGTCTAGAATTGGTTTAAAGAGTTGGATTTGAGAGTGAGTTCATGCATGCATGCACATATTCTTGGATTTTGGAGTTGTTCTTCATGAATTTCCATATGCATGTCTACATTTTTGTTATAGTCCATGAATTCATCATATTCTTGAGCTTAATCTTGCTTTGGATCATGCTTTAGAGCATTAGAAGTCATGAGAATTCATGCATGAACATTTAAGTGCTATTCTTAAAGTTTTATTTGAAATTGTGTTTAATTGACTCACCCTTAGGCTTTGATTTTACAAATTGATCTTTGAAACATCTTATACTATGAGTTTACAAGTGTTTTCCAGAAAATGGGCCCAAGAGGTCGAGTTTTGAGGTGTTAAATGCTTGGTTTGAGCTTGGGAGGCAAATCTGGAAATTTCAGAATTTGGCTTCCTCGCTCAAGTGAAGAATTCCACGCTCGAGCGACCATCATTTGTTCAAAGCTCTGCTCAAGCGAAGGAATGGTGGCTCGAGCGTAAATTGCAAGCTCTCAAGTTTGTGGTGCACGTAGACGCACGCTCGAGCGACGAGACCTACGCTCGAGCGAAGAGCTATGTCTCACGCTCGAGCGAGCATCGAGCGGGTATCGAGCGTAAAATTTCAACAACCAGTACTTTTGCATTTTTATAGACCGCTCGAGTGAAGGATTCTACGCTCGAGCGACCCCTCTATTTTGGTAAGCTTGCTCGAGCGAAGAAAGCCACGCTCGAGCAAGACCCCTATTTTCAGCAAGTTTTGAAAAATGTTTTTCAAGGCATCTTTCCATCCTCATTCCATCCTAGGCATTCCTAGGCCATGTTTAAGACCCTATTGTGAGGATTTAAGGTTAGAAACACACTAAGAACCAACGACGTAAATTTTGTGCAATCAGAATGTGTGTTTCAAGTGTGTGTCCGTTATATGTTATGTAGGTCACGTGCCGCGTGTTGTGTGATCAATCTGCTCCGTCTGTCTATTTTAAGGCCAACTGTGAGTAATAATTTAGTAAAGTTATGTTCAAACTGTATCTACTTTCTGTGTGATAAAATAATATCTGTTTTCCGAAATGATATGTTCTGTACAATGAATGATTGTTCAATTTCTGATATGTATTCGTGACATCCTTAGCATCATGTGATATCTGTTAGCTGTTACCTAGTATCGGAGGTTCCTTTATGGAACTTATTTCTGTCTGCACTCTGTTACCCGTACCGGAGGCCCTGTCACGGGGGCTCAGCTTCTGTTCTGTTCTGTTGCCCAGACTCAGAGATTCCTTATGGAACTGGTTATTCATAACCTCACGTGTATACATTCTGTTCTGTTCTGTTCTGTTAATGCTAATGGATGTATCACGTAAACTTAATCATGACTTATGATTTCTGTCTGTATATGATCTGGATAAACTATGAATTTGATATGAACTGAATTATGATTTCTGAATCTGTACGAACTCAATCATTGAAACCCTTTATTCTATTATAATTCACTGGGCTTCGCTTACAGTTTATATTATGTATGTAGGTGAGCCGGTATGTGACCAGGGCCAGAGTTGACGGCCTTCTATTCTGTTTTTGTCAGCCAACAGTTGTGCCTCCCAAGGAGGTTCCGATCGAGTCTAAAGCCATGGCTGTTTTTGTATTCATGCTAGCCTTTGTGTTTGCTCTGTAAAGTCAGGTCTTGGGAAGTACATTCTGTAAATACCTTGTGAATATTGTGTATCTGGACTGGCATGTTTATATATATATATATATATAAATAAGTTTTGAAATGTTCTGTCCCATGTACGTTATCACAGCTCATTGGATCTTGTCTATTTTGTATTATTACTTTCGCAGCCCCTTATTATTTGCTAATCTGTTCAGAGGCCTTGGGTAATCCATGGATTACTGGCCGGTTATGGTGCTAAACCTACAGGAGCGGGTTTGGGTCGTGACATCCATCTTCGACCGAATCAAATTTCTATTCCAGAATAGCATGTTCAACATCACCAACCATGTCATTGCGATGAGCATTGTCAACCATTTCTTTTTTCACATCGGCTCTACCATCTTCAACATTCATATTGGTTGCTTCTTTATTGCTCGGACCAACTTCGCAACCATGATAAGGTTCCCCCGACTTTCATTGATCAAACGAATGTCATCTGTTTCATTTGAAATGTCATAATCATCACATTCCCTTTTAACTTCCGCTGGGGCCATACTGCACATGACATTAGTACAAACAATTACTCGATGACCAAAAAATGTTAACACAAACACAAACATGACATTTACACGGTTTAATTGTTTGTACAAACACAAACACTCGCTTGAGAAAGAAAGGTTAGTTGCCAATGGAGGGGTTTCCGTTTGAGCGAAGCGTAGAGCAGTTGAAGTTAGGATGGGGGTTTAATTGAGGAAAAATAGTTGAAGTGAAGAGGCCAGAGAGAAGGGGAGATAGAGAGAGGGAGACAGCTTCATACCTCATATCTAGTTAGAGAGAACGCCTTCACTCCAGCAATGGAACCAACACAGCCTTATAGTTCCGTTGTTGTTGGAAATCGCCCGTTATACTGTTCCCTATAGAGCTTCGTCAATGGAACTCAGCAGGGGCTTCTCGCTGTTAATGGAAATCAAGGGTTACACTGACTTAACCTCACATAGAGAGGAGAACAGAGAGAGATAGAGATGAAATAGAGAGAGTGAGTGAGATGCAATCATGCAAACATAAGCATTAACCGGTTACCCCGGTTTCAACTTTTTCACGATTAAACAATTCAATGGTCTTGATCAATTATTGTAATCTAACGGCTAACAATTGAGTTGCATATGGTGTGCAACCTTAAGGGGGTTGCACACTTAAACAGTGCCCTAAAAAATAAACAAATTGAACAATTTCCCATCTAGAAAACTTGGGTAGTAAGAGAAAGTATTAGTTAATCAAGTAAAGTGAACAAAGAGTTGGGGAGGTTTCATACTTGTTACCAAGTAGGCCATGGAGGTTGATAATGAGTTCATCTTCTTCGGGAGTAAAATGACCGTGCTTGAGGTCAGGGCGGAGATAGTTGATCCACCTCAGTCTGTAACTTTTCCCATATCTGAGGAGACCGGCAGCGTTCGGAAGGGATCTCCAGCGGCCCTCACCGTGAGCTCCGATATAGGAAATGAGTCTCTCATCTTCTTCTTTAGTCCAAGCTCCTTTGTTTGTGTGAGCTTTCTCACAGCAAGGAGTCCTCCCCATGGATATGAATGAATTATAAGTTTAGTCACACACTACTACTACAACTTCACCAATCACTCACACTTGCATATCTTCTTCTTCTTCTTCTTCTTCTTCTTCTTCTTCTTTTTTTTTTTTTCGTTGTTGTTAGTTGTTGTAGTGGAGTTTGGTGCACTGAACATATATACATATATATATATATATTAATTTTAAATATCAATTTATATGCATCGAGCTTTTTGAATTTTTGATATTGATATCAAATTTAAGCTTATATTATGATATCAAACTTTTGAACTTTTGATATTAATATATTGATACGATTTACTATCAATCGATATATGATTGTATCGCAAATATTAATACTATTATTTAAACCATAATATATATATAGAGAGAGAGAGAGAAATGCTAGATATCCTATTAGTTATTAGTTTGTTTAGGAATCAAAATTAACTAATATTACATATCAAAAAGATATTAAAATTTAAAATTTAAAATTTACATATTAAATTTTTTGATTATAACTCACGTTATATCAAATTTAAGCTTATATTATGATATCAAACTTTTGAACTTTTGATATTAATATATTGATACGATTTACTATCAATCGATATATGATTGTATCGCAAATATTAATACTATTATTTAAACCATAATATATATATAGAGAGAGAGAGAGAAATGCTAGATATCCTATTAGTTATTAGTTTGTTTAGGAATCAAAATTAACTAATATTACATATCAAAAAGATATTAAAATTTAAAATTTACATATTAAGTGTTTAATCTAAGCACCTAGCATTTAGATATATAGTTGATGCTATAGAAACGGAATTTGTATACAAAATTTTTACAGAGAATTATGCGCTTTCAATACAAGCCAAAACATGCATCATTAGGGCTCATAGTAGTAGAAATATCACTCTCGCATTATTTTAAATGAGTTTTATGTATAAAAATTTTATTTGGAATTTATTTATATATATCTGTTATATTACATAAAGTCAAGGTCGGCTTTGGGCATAAACGGGCAAAGCTGGCGCTTTGGGTCTTGAAAAATTGACCAAAAAAAAAAGATTCTAAAATTTTGTTAATTATTATATTAGCCTATAAAAAAAATCTCACTGAAATTTAAAGTGTCCTAACAAAATCTAATTATGATTTAAAATTAATAGATAGTTGATGTGGTAAATTATTAAAACTAACAAATAGTTGTTTTTTATCGAAAGAAGCCAAAAAATTTATTGATGTGGTGAATTGTTTGAAATTATTGAATGATTATTTTTTAAATGTATAAATTACGTATAAAATACGATTGACTACATCACTTACAGTTGCTCTTTTTAAAATAAAGTTGATTAAATCTTAAATTTGCTCAACTATATAAAATGAAATATTAAATGGATTAGAAATTTTTTTCATCGAAAATGATTTAGCTTACAAGTTGGATTATGCGAACTAGATTAGTAATTTTACAACTAAAAATGCAAGAAAAATGCTATTTAAGTGATTTTTGTTGCATTTTTTTTTAATTTGATATTTCAGTTTAGATTATTTTGATCATTTTTCTTATTGTAAACTTTATTATATATTTAAGTAAATTTTAATAGATGTATAATTGAAGTAAGCTTTTCACAACGACTGTCAAATATCAAAAAATAAATAAAAAAAAAAAATTTTGGACACATAATTATTATTATTTTTTAAATATATATATGAAAGGTGTATTGAAAGTTCTCTTTGGATCTCGAAAAAATTAAAGCCGACCCTACATAAAGTCTACACAAGCTATGTTTGGCATGCCCATTTGGACTAAAATAGTCATGTAGGACAAAATTTGTTATTTTAGCCAAATATGATAAAATTTCACATTCAAACCATAATCATTTCATTTTTCTCTTACAAATGTCAAAAATACTAAAAAGTCTATCCGAAACAAGACTTTTTAGCTCCAGACTAAAATAGTTAAAAAATCAACTCACATCCCAAACGAAAGCTTAAATTAGTAGAAATTGTCAAATATATCTGATAACTGCACAAATCAAATTCTATAACTTCTCACCTTATATAATTACCTAAATCAAACTCACATTAAATTTTAGGATAAATTATGTAAATAGTCCTTGCAGTTTACACGATGTATCAATTTGGTCCCTATAGTTTGAATCTACACACTATATTTTATTTTTAGACATTTTTTCTAAATTTGTTACATTTTCAATTGTGCAAACAATGATCAAATTTAAATATCTCTAATGAGTCACACCACGATATTAATGTAATGGATTTCACAATTAATATATATCTCTAACGCAGTACTGACGATAAGATAAGATAGTAAAAATATATGGTCATTATAGAAATACTTCAAAAAAAAAAAAAAGAGTAATTTCATTGTTGAGAAAAGTTTACATAATCCACAACACCAGTGTTTAGGCTAACCAAATCATCTCTGTTAATACAACAAGTGCACTCTTTATTGTTGAATAAACCCAATCTGCAACTGAAACAAAGACTCCTCCCTATGCTCTATGATGGAAGCTGTGGTGGTGGATGGTGGGAAGGCAAGTTAATGCGAAGCTCGAGATTTAATTGAGGAGGACATTGTTCTTGGCTTGTGTTTCTCTGTTCTTGACACCCAATTATTACCTCATAATTCTCCTCCCCCTCCTTTTTATCTTCGACAGCAGAAAATATTAGTGTTGTAGAATTAGAGGTTGAGGTTGTTGTAGTTGTTGGCTCATTCAGTGGCCGATGTGTGACTGGATCAATCCCTCTGCTCAGTAGCTTTCTTCTCAAATGGGTGTTCCAGTAATTCTTTATTTCATTATCAGTTCTTCCTGCTAACTTCCCAGCTATCAGAGACCACCTATACATGCATACATACATAAGCACAAAAATCACAACTGTAAACGGAATTACTTGAGTTCAACTAGTGTTCCACCATTTAAAAGATCGTTTGAAATCAACTTGGTAAATGTAAACAATCTGAGTTTGAGTACATTCCAAAGCTCAAAAAATAGAGGTGGTTTGACAAACATCCATTTTTTTTTTTTTTTAATTTAACAAACGCCTTTTTTATTATTGGAAAAGTTCAGGTAGAATTTTGAATTTCTTTTTAGTTCATTCCAAATTACAATTAAGGACCTCAAAAATAAAATTAAAAATAAATAAATAAATTCACAAATATATATATATATATATATATATATATATATTTCATGTGATTTTTTTAGCATTTGTCAAATATTATAGATTCTACTAAAAATATTGATTTTTTTTTCTTGCCTTTTGTCATTTACATCAGTCGAAACAAATAACTAAATATTTTTTACTTAGATAGCTAAAAAATGACTTTGTGAGTGTTTGGAAAGTTGCTATTTAGTAGGTTATTTTAGTTTTTGATTATTTTATGAGGTTATAATTTTTGTGTTTGGGAAGATAACTAGATTTTTTTGTAATTAGATGTGATGTTTGTGAGATAAAAAGTAAAATGATTATAGATTTGATGTGACATTTTATCTTATTGATTATTTTAACTTATGTTGTCTTTTAATGCTATTTTAGTTATAAAAAAAAAAGCCGAAAAAGTTGCTACCCTAACACCCCCAATTAACAAAATAAAATAATATCTTAATGTTAAGTTTGAGTAAGGTATCACTCGTTTCAATAAATTAATATGTATAAGAACAGGCAATTCTAGTTTTAAACGTTATTAGTTCAATTAATACTAGTGTGACATAGATTAAAAAATAAACAAATTGAACAATTTCCCATCTAGAAAACTTGGGTAGTAAAGAGAAAGTATTGGTTAATCAAGTAAAGTGAACGAAGAGTTGGGGAGGTTTCATACTTGTTACCAAGAAGGCTATGGAGGTTGATTATGAGTTCATCTTCTTCAGGAGTAAAATGACCGCGCTTGAGGTTTGGGCGGAGATAATTGATCCACCTCAGTCTGCAACTTTTCCCACATCTGAGGAGACCGGCAGCTTTCGGAAGGGATCTCCAGCAGCCCTCACCGTGAGCTCCGATGTAGGAAATAAGTCTCTCATCTTCTTCTTTGGTCCAAGCTCCTTTGTTTGTGTGAGCTTTCTCACAGCAAGGAGACCTCCCCATGGATATGAATGAATGATAAGTTTAGTCTGTCACACACTACTACTGCAACTTCACCAATCACTCTCACTTGCATATTATTATTTTTTGCTTCTTGTTGTTGTTGTTGTTAGTTGTTGTAGTGGAGTTTGGTGCACTGAACATATATATATATATATATTAATTTAAATATCAATTTATATGCATCTAGCTTTTTGAATTTTTGATATTGATATATTGATTGATATTGTCTATAATGACCAATATATGATATCAAACTTTTGAACTTTTGATATTAATATATTGATACGGTTTTGTATCACAAATATTAATACTATTATTTAAACTATAACATATATATATATAGAGAGAGAGAGAGATGCTAGATATCAACTCATACAATCTATTAGTTATTAGTTTGTTTAGTAATCAAAATTAACTAATATTGCATATCAAAAAGATATTAAAATTTAAAATTTACATATTAAAATTTTTAATTATAACTCACGTTATATCAAATTTAAGCTTATATTATATATTCAAATTGTGAATATTTTTTAAGTGTTTAATCTAAGCACCTAGCACTATAGAAACGGAATTTGTATACAAAATTTTTACAGAGAATTATGCGCTTTCAATACAAGCCAAAACATGCATCATTAGGGCTCATAGCAGTAGAAATATCACTCTCGCATTATTTTAAATGAGTTTTATGTATAAAAATTTTATTTGAAATTTATTTATATATATCTATTATATTACATGTTGATACGGCGGGTTCCAGATGGAACGGGTCGGCCGGGTTCTAAATGGAACGGGTCGGACTAATCCACGCTTTTCAAACCGGTGTCCAAATGATCGAGCCCATTAAAAGACCTGCACACGAGTACAACGGGGAACAGGGAGTCCCCCAGCGAACACTCCGACGAGCAAGTTAGAGAGAGAAGCGGAATGTAGAGATGAATTAGAGATAGAAAAGCTTAACCTTCTTCTTGTCTTCGACGTTTGCTTATATCCTCCGGTAATCATTTCATTGTCCCTTCCGACCTGTCACCTTGGCCGAAAGTCTATGCTCTAACTTACCTTGTTCATGGTGAAGGCGTTCTGTCTCGACGGAGAGAGGTTATCGCAATAAATGCTGTAAGGGGCTTCATTAATGGCGATATGCAGTGGCAATAACTTTGTAGATCTTTGTCTGCTTATGTGGCTTGCCCTTCTCTTGCCATGTGTCTTGCTGCCATTGGTTCTTATTGCTACGTGGGGCTTCAGCAATGCTGGGCTTTAGTATATGAGTTATCTATTGGGCCCTAAATGGTGGGCTATAATCTTTATGGGCTTACCTATGTCAGTAGTCCCTCATTCCCAAGTGCAACTTTAGCCCAACGAAGGGAATAATGAAGAAAACGAGGGTTGTGAGAGACCGGCAGGGTGAAGGCCAACCGAGAGGAGTGACCGACCGTGAAGGGTGGGCGAGCGGAGGGACCGACCATGAGAAGGGCTGACCGAGAAGGGTGGGCGGTGGTGCGCGGGGCTCGAGGGATGACAGGGCACGTGGTGATTTGAAATGGAAAAGACAGGGTAGGTGGGGGGGCAGTGAATCGTGGTCGTACACGTGGCAGGATCCTATAGTGGAGAAGGTTAGGCCTTGGGCAAGAAGTGAAAAGATAGGTCATTATAGGGTGTCGAAAAGACAGTTTTGGTGAATTTTTTTTGAAAAATTTCAAACTGGCGAAATTTAATTGTGACCCTTGGAATATAGGCAAACCTTGGACTTTTGGTATTATCCGTTTCACGTATCTTTTTGCAAACAACCAAAATATTCCAAGTGTAAACTCCTTCGTCGCTAGTGATACACCCCTGTAACACTTCGTGAACTATCTTGCACCAGCTTCTGAAGCTATTCACAGACATACGAGAGAGATGGCCCAAGAGGAAGCAACAAACGCAAGGGTCGATCCATTAGGCGACGATGATGCGGTGGATTTGGCAGAACAATACCGGACGGAGAGGCGAGTGGGAAGCGAGGGGGAGCCGGTGGGACGACATCATTCGTCCACAATGATAGCGGCTGCGCAGCCAATCAGCCAGGTTGAGCCAGATCACTGTCATACGAAAGCCGATAAGTCGACCATTACCGCGGAGGAGTTGGTAGGTATACGCGAGAAATACCAAATTCCTGCAGAAATAGAGTTAAAGCTGCTGACAACGAAGGAGAGGCCATCCGACGCCCGACCGAGGGAGTTTGCCCTCTACAAGGAGACATTGAAGGGAGGGTTAAGGTTGCTGCTTTTGCAGGTGGTAGTGGATTTCCTAAACCGGTTGGAAGTAGTGCCGGGTCAACTAATGCCCAATGAGTGGAAAATTGTACTGGCCTGTGCAAGCGTGTGGCTGAGGGCGAACGAGGGGGCAGCTATGACAGTGGACGAGTTTTTTGCATGCTACAAGGCCTCGGGGCAGCAAGAAACTTGGGTCACTTTGCAGGCGGTGGCAGGGAGGGGCCTGGTGGCGGGTTTGTCGTCATCAATAAAGGGGTGGAAGCTGCGGTGGTTCTACGTGTCCGCAAACGGAGGAGTTGGAGTGCGCACAGTGTGGAGAGTGCCCACCAAGTCTGTGGAGCCAAAGTTGGGGGCAACAGCTGAGGAGAAGGTGAAGAAAGTGATGGCATGGAGGGAGAAGGGGGGCGCCAAATGGGACGAGCTCGTTCAGCCGTCAGCCTTATTTGCCGCAAAGTTAGGCCCTCAGCCGACCGGTGGAGACCTGGAACCGGTGGAATTAGAGGCGAGAAGAAAGGCGCAAAAGGCGGAGGATAGGACCATTCTCGCCAAGGCCAGTAAATTCAAAGAGTCACAGGCAGACCGGCCGCTGAAGCCAATCGCGAGGGAGAGGATCCGACCGCGTCCCAAACCGTTGGGAGAAAAGGACTTGGGTGAATTTGAGCCACGACCGCCCCTAATTGATCCTTTGAAGGAAAGGACCAACAAGGGGATGGAGGTTGTGATGAAGAAGAAGAAGAGGGTAAAGGAGAGGGAGGAGGGGCCAGCCCTGAAGAGAAGGAAGGAGGTGACGGCGGAGAAGACCTCTGAAGTGGGGTTGGGGGAAACAAGGGGGATGGAGAGTGGGGCAACTGGCCAAGGGGGCCAAGGATGAGAAGAGCTCATGAGTGCCATGGGCCCCAAGATGCAAGTAGAGAGTGGGTCAGCTGGCCTTGAGGAAGGGGTGGAACAGCAGCCCAAGGGGGTGTCTGCGCCCCAAGGAGAGAGGGTCAGGCTGAAGACTGCCATCTACCATGCGCCAGCAGCATCTGGGCGACTAGAGGGAGAAGAAGGGCCAACCAGGACAGCTGCAGATTGCCTTTTGGGGGTAGTGGAAGAAGCGGCCGTAAGCTCGGTGGCCTGTTTTACTGAGGCTGAGCTGCTAAGGGGTCTGTGTTCCGCCTAAATGGAGGCCACTGCCTTAGCAGGAGCCCTATTGAGAAAGGCGGCAGCTGTCAAAGGCAAAGTGGGGCCACTGAAGGTAAAGTTGGAGGAGGCGAAGGCCCAACTTGAAAGTTTGAGGAGAGAAACTATTGGATGGAGGAAGACCGCGCGAAGTGTGTGCGCTAGGAGGTTGGAAGAGGCCCAAAAGGCTAAGAAGATGCAAGTGTTGGCGATAATGCAGGGATACTCAGCCGATCGAGCTAATGCTAAACTGCTTGCGACCAAGTTGGAGTTGGAGGCGGAACGCCGCAAGGTGGTGTCACTCGAGTTCCAATTGGAGAATGAGCAGAAGAGCTAGAAGAGGCCCAGGCAGCCTACACCGTCGCCAACGAACGGTGGGAGGAGGCCATGTCCAGCAACGAAGATCTTCGCGCTCAGTCAATCAAAGAGAAAGAAGAGTTGGATCTAAAGATTGCTGGGTTGGTTAGGACGTTGGCAGACGAGCGGGCCAAGTCAATGGAGGAGAAGGCGGGGTTAGAGAAGGAGTTGGAGGAAGAGAAGACCAAGTCAGCCTCTGAGAGGGCAGCATACCCGACTTGTGCGTCGCAGCAGTAGAGCAGTTCAAGGGGTCTGTTGACTTCCAGATGGCGATCGATGCTGCGATTGCTAGTAACTTGGCAAGGGGGGCTGGCCCATCGGGAGCGACCGTTGGGAGCAGGAGTGAAGAAGAAGTAATCCAGAGCTTCCAGTGGTCGGACTTCTATAAACACGAGATGGCTGAGTTCTGGGACAGCGGCTGGAAGATGTTTAAGCGTAAAGCAGAAGAGCTGTTCCCAGGCTTGGACTTCAGCAGTGTGAAGATTAATGAAGACGACGTGGCCCAGACCCCCTTAGACGAGGGTGTTGAAGAAGAAGACCTCATCTCGAGTGAAGAGGAATAGTTGGTGTGAACAAAATTTGTACTTAGAGTTTTGGTTGTTTGTTTGTTTGTTTGTTTGTTTTTTTTTTTTTAGAGTTGCTGTAATAAACTCATGTATAAGTTGTGAATGAATAAAATTATGAGTTGTGTGTGTGTGTGTTTTTATGCCATTGTCTTTATTATTTGAGGATCTACAAAAATGAAAGTGGTGGTCTACATAGGGCTTGTGTATAAGTCACTGCGAAGTTTAAAATATAAGAAAACCTTAATGTAGAATGAAGTTTAAAATAAAAAAACCTCAATGCAGAGTGAAGTTTAAAATGTACAAAAACCTCAATGCAGAGTGAAGTTGTGAATCATGACCCAACAAGGAGCCAGTCTGACTTGGAAAACGTTGGAACATAATATGACTAAGTATGGCAACTATGCCACGATCATAAAGTTGTAATAGTGGCCTTAGCCGATCTTTTTATTTGTGCTCAGTTCAGGTTGAGCCATGATGAAATCAGTCAGGCTGCCTCTTCAAGTAACTCAGTCTGGTTGAGCTCTTCACGCTCAATCTGGCTGAGGCTTGTCATGCTCAGTCTGGCTGAGGCTTGTCATGCGCAGTTTGGCTGAGGCTTGTCATGCTCAGACTGGCTGAGGCTCGTCATGCTCAGTCTGGCTGAGGCTCGTCATGCTCAGACTGGCTGAGGCTTGTCATGCTCAGTCTAGCTAAGGCTTGTAGCTGAGTGCTGCAATCAGGACATTATTGAGATACCACACAGATAATTGAGATGTAAG